TGTTCGTATCTACCGACTTATGATGATATAGGTGCTGATGAGTACATGGAGTGGGAAATTGCCATAGATAACATATTTACTACTCGCTTTATGTGTCCAAGGAGGAAGGTAAAAAATGCAACTAGTGTTTTACGACATTCTGCTTTGTCTTGGTGGGAGTCTTTAGATCCTTCTGATAAACCTCAAACTTGAAATAATATGAAACTCCTTATGGGAGAAACCTTTGTTAATCCACCTCCTGTTTTGACTTCATATGCTGAGGTGCACTATTTAGAGGAAGAGTCTGTTGTTATTCCTCTTGCTATGACTAACCTTCTGTAGGATAATGTACATAAGCGAGAGGATGACATGGAAGAAAATGAGGAGCTCACAACCTCATATGCAAATTCAGAACCATCACTTGACAATGCACCTATTACTACTGCTGAGAACATAGGTAATGCCCATGGTGCTACACCCACGAAAGGTGAGAATTGTTTTAATGTACTAATTTTTTTCCACAAACCATGCTATCATAGAGCAATTGTTAGTGGAACCCTCTCTTGATTTATCTTTGTCCCATGCTAATTTGCTTGATGTTCCTTGTGATAAAGATGAATTGGTTGATGATGCTTTAGTTTTACATGTTTTGGAAACAATCACTTGTGCTGAAAATAAATCTGTTATTCATATTGCTACTAAAACTGATGAGCTCAAATTGTTGTCTTCTTTACATAATTTGGGTTACATTGAATTTGATGTTTTGTGTAACCTAGATTGTTTGGAGGAGAGCATTTTTAAATATGCTGATTTGCCTTGGTTTTCTAAACACAAATATCATGTTATTGGTAAATATAACAACAAAGGACAATATATGATACATCGAGTATACGTTCGTAGTAATATGAATTCTTCTTTTGTTGTACAAGATTATGATCATTTAGAGGGCAGCCATAATAATATAAATATTTTCTCATGTTCCTCAAAGAAACAAGTTCACTTCCAAGAAGGAGACCATTGTTGGTTGCTACCTATGTCTGCTAGACCATCTATTCCTACTTTGTCTTTGGTTAATTCTAATCTTTTGCAGGATAGTGTTGACATACATCGTGTGCATTCGGATCATGGAGCCTACATGCTTGCTGAAATTTTTATGCGAGATGACACGGTAGAAACTTGGAAACATGGCGCGTTCCTTCTAACAATTATTTCAGTTCCTTTGTCTTTGCAACCCCGTTCTCCTTTGTATTGTGCGGGATCGGTTTCAAGCACAATCGACACCGAGGACGGCTTTACATCAAGAAAAGGAGGATGATAAGGACATGAGCTCCATACATACGACCATGCTTGGAAATAGAAGCCGAGGAGATCAGCGAGGTTGTCCTAACCGAGAAGGAGGTCCGAAGTTCATTCGGTTCGAGTCACCGAGGTGGAGGCTCAAATCAAGTTCGAGCCCATCTCGAGTTTTAGGACCAATCTGTCATAAAACTGGTCACACGGGCACGTCCGGGCTCTGTTTTCGATGATCCACATATGGATGGAAAGCTAATTAGATAAGGAAGCCAATGCAACTGGTCTCACGTCAAAAGCTCTTCGGACTCAACGGGAATCGTTGAAACAAGTCAGCGTCCAGAATCTGCCAGGGTGCTACAACACTGTCTTTTGGTCCGTTGGACCGTGCATCGTGTTTGGGCCCATTAGGGGGCGCGAATAGGGGGGGTGACACCCAAGACTCTATAATTAGCAGCCGTCGCTCTCCTTAGGGTTTGTGTTTTGTTTAGTTCTTGATTTCCTCGTGAAACAGACGTCGTTCTGCTGCAACTGTGCCGCCAAGGCCGCTTGCTGTGAACCAGGGCCCCAGTTCTTGATCTTGTTCGCCTGTGGTGATTAGTCCTTCCGAATAAAGACCTAAACTCCTTCTCGTTATCATAAGCCTCATATTTATTTGCAATTTCAGATTGCGTTCATCCCATTCTTGCTTGTGTTCTCGATTCGCTTGTAGGAAAGCTTTCTCGGCGAGGTCAATCGCGTTCGCGTGGTTGATAACCAATGGAGCAGTGGTGTAACGGTAGCGAGGGTCTGAATCAGTCTTGGTAAGAAGCCTAGATTGTGCATGTCGAGTCTCCACCAATCGACGTTATCGTACCTATCAGAAGATCGGGCCTTGTCTACATCACCTACCCTTATACGTGTTAAACTCTTCCTCTTCGTAAGCCAATTACAGACATCGTGAGTGATATATCCATCCCTGTACCGAGTTTGTGCTAGAGTGTGCTTAGTTGCTTACAGTGGAGGAGCAATTCAATTACACAAAAGTTTCAAGGGCCTCGGCAAGTCAGTTCCTGAAGGGGCGACTCGGGTGGTCGCCGCCACGCACCCTACCGCCCTCCCCTTCTCTCGCCTCGCCGTCGCCTGAACGAGGTCGCTAGAGGCCCGCGAGGACAGTAGTGGTGGGCCGGGGCACTTGTGGCTGGTCCACCATTGGTGGAGCACTCGTGCATCTCCCGTCGAGGAAGTTCGTCGACGTCTAGGTGAAATTAGCGGCGTCAGTGCCGTGGTGGCTCGTATCCACGCCGGGGGAAGATAGATCCAACGAGCCAACGTCCCGATCTAGCCACGGTGGCCGAGGACCTGCTTGCATCGGCAACGGCCATTCAACGCCGTCGTGGCTTGATTCTACTGCCCCCACCCGGATCCATGGCAGCAAGTGGACAACAGTGGCGATTGCGGCCATGCGTGGCTGTGCGCCTAGGGCGTGCAGGCAGCCGCTTGGGCGGCGTAGGCTACACGTTGGCGGCGTGTCTAGGGCGTGCAGGCTGCTCGTGGATGGCTTGGTCATGGAGAGGCGGCTGCGGCTTACGGGCATGGTGATTGTTTGCTCTTAGCGAGTGTCTATTGGTACCCTAGGGCGGTGGCGGCCCGAGCGCTAGTTCAAGGATCTTAGCAAGGAGGAGGCAGATCCCGTGGGCAGTGGCGGCAGCGACAGAGGACTCCAGTAGAGGCGACGACCATCCCAATGACGGCGGCTGCCCTATGGGTGGCGAAGGCTTAAGAGTCCGACGAAATGGAAGCGGATCCTGTCGGCTCACGTCTGTTTGGCTAGTTCTGACTGGACGACGACGGATGAAGGTGGGCTGACCAGCATGGTGTCAGCTTACTTGAAGCGAATGAAGATGGCAGCAGTGGAGGTTCGCAGTGATGACACACTAGGGGCGGTGGACTTGACGACTTCCACTCACTGAATTTGGCCATTTTTGGAGAGGATGTTGGGAAACAAGGATGTATCGAGGTCGTAGTTTTTCCTTTTTTGTTGTTGTCCGTTCTCCTCTTTGTTGAGGTGTGAGTCTAAGTGTTCTTATATCCTTTTGGCTGTGTATATTCTTTTCGTGGATATAGTGGCCGGATCAATGAAAATCCATTATCTAAAAAAACCTTTTTATAACCCTAATAAGTTTGCAAGGCCAGTACTCGAAGTTGGGTTATTTATTTTTGTTCTTTTCTCTAGGTATGTTGTGTTTACATGGCTTCAAACCCATGTAGACCTCTGTTCATTCTTACTAACCATCATTTTCTTGTTTGACACCATACCATACTTATGGCTCTCTGGAAAAACAGCTACGTATAGATATAGTATGTACTACTACTAGCTAATAAGCTTGCAGCACCAACTCCCAAAAAAAATGGCCACCAACAGCAGAAGAACAGAGATCCTCTGGTTCTGCGAACACCATCATGAGGCTCAATATAGTAATTCGGAATATACAATTATAGATGCTCATACTTTGGTCAATTTAGTGTATCAAAATTCAGATGAACAACTTAAATCCATTAGAATTAATAACGGCTACCTATGCACGTTACCCCAAAACTTGTGCTCCCAAGTCCCAAATCAACTTCTGAAGCTATGCAAATGCAAAACAAAAAAAGAAAAGAAAGAAGCACTGTACCAACTAGACCAGGGATGAAGCAGCTAACAAACTTGCATTTGCCTGAATGCACCTATATATAAACAATGTGTTGGGTATGGCAGAATTCCCCCCATTCCATTCGCACGACACCAACGCCTGATAAAACACTGTGCACAAGTTAGATGGCAGTGCTATTGCTTATTCTCCCTGAATGCACCCATACACTAGCTATTATAGCTGGCAAAACTTGTAGTATGCATGAATACTGAAACAAATAATCAGTTAACACTCCATGTAGATCAAACCAAGCCATTTAATAATTTGCTGGCAGCATTAGCATGCTGCTGCATGGATCACAGACAAGCATACAATGTGTCCAATACAGTCAATGAAACTGAAAACCAACACTTGCACACCATGGGGTTTGGTTCTGTGGAGGCATCAAACCCAGCCTCTTATTTCGGTTTTCGAGTGCACACGCGCGCACACATAACCAGTCAAACCAAAGCAAAGCAAAGGAGCATACATCAGTCGGCCTCTCTTTCAAGAGAGATACACACGAATTCACACATACCGGTATCAAGCACACTGCACACTGCACACACACACACCAACTTGGTTGATGCAAATCCAAGTAGGTAGCTAGCATCAGAGACCAAATTATTTTCATTCTTGTCTTGAGAGAAAACACACCGAAGACTTGGCAAGCAACTTGGTTGACCACAGCAGCATCAGTACTGCTATTGCTATATATGGAAGCATACCCAGTGGCAGAGAAAGCACTGTCGTCGTCATCCCGTCGATCCAACACCAGATGAATCTACAGAGAGTGATCCAATCCAACATCAGCACACACAGAACATAAAACAAAATTAACTTGAAATAAATTACTACAAATAATTAAGGGGAGGAAGTTGCTTGATCAAGTGTGTACGTACCAGGAGAAGAAGGAAGCCCAGCAGCAAGTATGTGATCACGTCGGCTATCTCAGCGGAGAACCGTGCTCCTCAGGTGACGCCTCTTGTAGTACTTGGAATGGCTCGGCTGGAAGAGAGAGGGGTGGTGGCCAGACTCCATCCCATCCCACTCCAGCTTATCCCACCAATCCTTCTCTCAGTCCACGGCCACAGGGCGGCCATCTTCACGGCGGCGACTGTCAGTGGCCGGGAGACGCCTCAGACCCCAGCAGCCTCTGATATAGATGGTCTCGAGCTTGGGAGCAAACATCTTGGCCTCACAGATCTGTTGCAAACTGATGAGATCATACAGGTATAGGCTCTTGAGGTTTGGGAATCCCAGCATGCCTTTTTCATGTCTGGCCGCTATTTTCTCTAGGAACTCTTGCTCCACGAGGAAGACCTGCTTGAGATCACCGCAGCAGTGTATGTGGAGAGTCTCCAGCACCTTGGATAAGGTATTGTTCGAAGCCATTGGGAGGACATATATGAGCCTCGGGCAGAAGTGCAGACGAATAGTCCGCAGTCGTGTAAATGATAAATCACCTGAATCCAAACTTAGATCTCTTGGTCTGCTCCAAACAGAACGGGCCATCAAGAGATGAGCCGCCCAAAAGATTTCCAACTGAGAGAAACATATGTAATAATAGTTAGTGGCGAAGACAGTATCCAACTTGGGGCATCTCTCCACGCAGCACCACTTGAGCCCATTCATTATATTTGTCCCAAAAGTGTGTTCAGGGGCAACACTGGTGATGGAAGAACTGTCGTGCACGTGCAACGACTGCACACTGTCCATCACACTACGTATTGCATCCCTTGCCCGCGTGCTGGACTTGTCGGTGACGTCACTAATTCCCTCGCCAATGTCCATGTGCAAGTCTAGTGGCAGAAATTGCGCTGAGCTGCTGCTACTGCTGATATCGATCTTTGCAGATATCTGTTCAATGCTGATGTCATGGTAGGTTAATGACTTGGGCATAGACAAAGCAGCAGCTAGCTGTCCAGTGCTATAATGACTGCCCATCTTTTCCTTGTGGCAGCCTCTTCCATCATCATCGCTGGTAGATGACAAGCAGAGATTCCACTTATCACATCGAATAATGCGTGCCCATGTCCAAAGAAACTCCAAGGACTGAAGGAACCTCATGTCTGCAACGGCAACAGATGCATGGCAATACTCCTTTACTTCGTCTTGCCGGTAGACCATCAAAGAACAATCACGTGACCATGCTGGTTTTCTGTTGTCCACCTCTCCTCCTCTTGCTCGAGTGTCAATGCACAGCAGCCTTAGTTTGTACATTTTGGTTTTGGGCCAAGAAATTGAGCGGAGCTGTCCGCATCCCATCAAGAAGAGCCGCTGAAGATTTTTTACTTGAACCACCTCTCCAAGGTCAAGGATTTTGATTGCTGTGTGCGAGAGGTCCAGCTCCTCAAGGTTTGGCAGTGACCCACGCAGTATAAAGTTTGCTAATCTTACACACCCAGCCAAGCTGATGTAAGATATTTCAACATTCTTCTTCTTGAGATCCTCATCTTCTCCTGCGGTATTCAATGAGAATGATTCAAGTGATGGAGGGAGTTGTTGAGGGCCAACATGCTCCAACCCAACACAACCATCTAGAATCAGTGTCTTGAGGCTTGTTGCACCCGAAAGGCTCGGCAAGACTTGTATGGTGCTGTTCCCAGATAGGTCAAGGAGCTCCAGATTCACCATAGCCATGAATTCATCTCTTCTTTCTGTCTCCCAAGGGTTTGTGGGCTCAACCACTTGGAGCTTGTGAAGGTTCGGCAGGCGTCTCCATGCAAGGTTGCTGGTCCAAATCCTTCCGTTGGTTATATGAACCTCTCTAATGTCTGTAGCCACCACTTGCTCTTCTGTTTCTGGGGGAAAAGCCAATGGCCAATCCGTGTGGCATACATCTAGCACCCATAGCCGCTGAAAAATTTCCACCGCTGGTTCACCTGTTTTCTCCTCCTCCTCCTCCTCCCCATGTTGTAGTCCATCCATGCATCTATCCAGTCCAAGGAATCTTAAGTTGTGGCAGCAATGGAATGGAGGTGATGAAAAGCTGAAGGTACATCCACATAACTTCAGCACCCGGAGTTGATCTGCTTTGTGGAACTTGTCACTAGGTAGTGATACTGCTTGTGGACTTGACTTTTTGGATCCATAGAATAGGGTTGTTGCCTCTGGAGGAACCTCTTTGAAATATGAATCAGTAATAGAAATCCATTGTTTCGAGGAAAGATCCAACATGTTCACAGACCCCAGAAGCTCTACATTGGATGAGTAGTCTTCTAGTCTTATATGCTGCTGCAGAGCATGAGCAACCTCCCATTTCTGGTTGTCCTGTCCTCCTCCTATGATCCCATCGCAAACCCAGTAGCAGGAAGCATGGGTTGCCCAGTTGTAGTCAATCATCTTCTTACCTTGGTTATTCAATGACAATAGGTACAAGCAACACTCTATGGCTATTTTTGGTGTAACACCAAGGCCAAGCTTATGTGTGTACAAAGAGACTTCTCTAGCCTCTTTTGCAAGGTGTGCATTCCAATTGCTGTTACGGCCATGGTATGCAAAAAGATAAAGGTGTGAAGCATCTACGTTTTCATGAATTCCTGCATTGAGGCGAAGCCGTCCTCTGAAGGTCCACAATACCTTAGTATTGAAGATTTCAGGTTGCGGAATGCCACAGCTAGTCAAGTCAACCATGCCATCACTTCCATTGTGAAAGACAACTAAACATCTGTACTGTACTAGGTAACGAGTTATTGCGGCCATGACGCCTCTAACCTCAGCTCTGGAGCCATGGTCTACCCCACTGAAATCGTCCTCCTCGTCTTGCGCGTCAATGGCCACTACCTGTTGAGTGAGCTTGAGCTCGTCTGCGATCACCCTTTGCAATGCTCTTCGGCTCTTCCACATCGAACAGTCAATGTGGACGATCCTGTCGAATTTCTCTCGTAAAGATGGTGGAGGCTGCTCTGCAATAGCTCTAAGCACCGCAGAAGCACCCAGTCCATCCCATCCTTCAAAGTACATGACCTGAGGTGCATCGTTGCTTGTGTCCTCTAAGTAAGGAGATATTTCTTGTACTGCCGTCTTGACGTCGATCGCCGAAATCCTCTGCATTTTTTATGCCAACAATTAACTAGTTAAGAAGGCCACTCTCACTCCACAAACACACAGTAACTAGCACAAGGAGCAGAGTACCAGTTTAGATCTTTCATTTTCTTCTTCTTCTTTTTTCTTTGGTTGGAACTTAACATGTGGTCAAAAGAAAATAAACTAATATGATATATTTAAGAATTAATTGTTGCACCGGTGAAGAAAAATATTTGTGCACAAGGTTTTAAGAATTAACCGATCGATATGTTTTATTTTCTAGGACGGCTAATCTTATCAGCCCCCACTCTAATTCAAATAGAATTCAGGTACACCCTTGTCTCACATGGCTGCCGCCGGCACTCGCCGAACTCCTGCCTGCCGCATGGGGCCTCCAACGCTGTACCGCCACGTAGGGCGATGGTGGTGACCACCATCACGGCCCTGAGCGTTCTATTTGTGCCGTCCTTTGTCGACTCTACAACGTCTGATCCACTCAGCCCAATCGGTAGGCTACAGGATATCACAGTTTTGGTCCACGACGACCAGCATTCCACCACGTTGCTGCCCAGGTCATGGCTGCTAGCTGTCGTACTTGATCTAGAGCTTGGAGAGAGAGAGAGAGAGAGAGGAAAGAATGGATGGAGAAAGGACATGGGGAGTTGAGGACTTGAGGACCGCCAGCCCCGACTGAATTTGAACCACAAGACCGAAGGGTTATTATATAATACAACAGAAATAAATGTTGTAGTATGTAGAATACCAAATTATGAATAGGTCTGTTTGATCTAGGGACTAACAGTTAGAAGGAAAAAGAATGACTAAATATGGGCTAACTTTAGGCTAATAAGAGCTCATGAGGACTAATTGATGGTTGGAACTTATCAGTCCTTATTAGCCTATAGTTAGCCAATATTTAGCTTATTATTATCACAAGATAGGCTAATTTTCAGCCTTGTGATCCAAACGGAGGTATGTCTCTCATTTGTCCACGTACTCCTATTTTGAGAGTAATTGCAAAAGCCACTGAGAACAAAATTAGTCATTATACTGGTGTATGTTCCCAAAAGTACATGGTCTATATCTTCAACGGGGGAGGGGGGCATACCTCGATTTTTTCCGGCGGCATGACGAGTCTGTATATATAGAAAAGATTAGCAAACTGAAGAAGCTCCGGAGGTATTTTTGTAGCCCATATCTACTCCATCGCTTCCAGATGGATCTCCAATCTCTAATCCACAAGAACAAAATAAAGCTAGTTATACATGCGTCCGGTGTGAAGTGTGAACACATGCATGCAGGCACCTATCTATGTATGCTGCATATATATAGAATGAGACAAAGAGGAAAAAAACATGTGCCGAGTAGTAACAACCATATGGAATCAAGAAGCACAGAAGTTGTTAGTACCTTGGCAACTAGCTACACTGTATGTATATAAAAATATCCTGAGCTGCGATCGGAGAACACAATGCAAGAAACGGTGGTGCTGCCTGAGTCTTAGGTGTGTGCTGATCAGCAAGAGGTAGCGGACAGAGGAGAGGTAGTACTATGCGAGGGGGGATCGAGCTGCCTGCGATTAGCTCCCCGTTCCGTTGCTTCTCCAGATAAGCTTGTAACTTTTGGCATTGGCATCAAGAAAAAAGGTACATGCGGCCGGGTGCTCTTTGCTTGGGGCTGGAGCCAAAGAATAAAGATGGAACCGACTGTCGTCCTGCAAAGAGCAAACTCAAATAGCTTGCACAGATGACCACTTTAATTTGTGCCATAGCTCAAACACGGCTCCATCACAGTATAATTGGTTTGGCCGAGTTACCGGCTCATTCATGTCTGTGCTCTTATACAGTTCACTTCACCTTTGTCTCAGAGTCAAAATTTTCTAACATGGACCATATTTTTATTTTAGGGAAAATATATATTAGATCTACAAACTCAAGAAAAAAATGCACAATATAAACATACTCATGGAGAATTTAAGGAAAAACTAATTTGTTATTATAGATGATATTGGTACATTTTTTATATAAATTTAGTATCCGGCTCAGGCTTCCCCTTTTGTGCACTGGGCTTTGACCCTTATTTACAAACTCACAATAAATATATGAAAACACTGGCCAAAGATAAATTCGCCCGCTTCCATTAACCAACAATCTCGGTACTACTGCTCAACAAAATAGGACTGCCAGCTAATTCAAAGCACCGGGATCCTGCCCAAGCAACCGGCCTTGTACTGGAAGGAGCGAGCACTGCCATTCAGCTTTGCCCTCTCCATGAAGAAGCTCCCTGTCGACGCCACCACCATTGTCAGTATTGCCAACCGGCCTAATCTTTACTTCTTTCATCTGCGACCAATTATCGTTGCAAAACGAAATGCCACGTCAGTGGAAGCTATCTGGCTGAATCTATCAGGCATCCTGTATTCTAGGAAAGGACATGCTATTAAGTCCAATGATGTCTAGAATTGGGATCGTAAGCCTAGGTACATGAGCTGCCGCAAGAAGTGATGTCAACAAATACACGAAAGTCACAATACCTTGACATATTCCTTTTTCAAGTAAGGGAGTAAAAGATGCCAGCATAGCTGACAGGCGACAAAGAAACAGAATAGTCTGAATCTGCCACTTCCATGGACAAGAATCAAGTCCAGACTGCTGTCCTCAAACTGAGCTTTTGGTGCAACAACTGAGAAAGTATTTTTTTTGTTTCATAAACTCCCTGTATGTACTCTTGTTCGTTTTGTTTCTAATTTTAATTCTCAAGTAAGAGCTCCGGTCCCTCATGTTTCCTAGGCAGGCTTGCAAAAGTGATTATAGAAACAAAATGCCAAGAAACTTCTCTCAATTTGCTGGAAACCCAATAATCTTGAATCCTACCATCGTTGTGTTTTTCCACGTCCCTCGTCTAGACGCATCACATGTCTGCTTTTTTGACATAGTGATGGATTTGTTTACCTCTCCTAACCTTGCCATATCAGAATGTTGTTCATGGCATTTTTTCTGTCGGTGCTCAGTGGTTTCAATTCTGAATGTTTCCCTGGCGATGAACATAACAGAGTGGATGTCAGGACCCCTGTTACCGTCAAGCATGAAGAGGAAGGTGGAGGCATGAGCGTGATGGCGGGAAATCAGAAGGAGAAAACGCCAGGAGATTAGGCCGGTTCCAATCACGGGCCAGTGAAGGAAGCGAGGCCCGTGTGAGCTAAGAAGCCCAACTCCAAATGCTTTGGGGGTGGCGTGATCAACTTTGCTTGTAGGAGAGATAAGAAGAGAGAGAGAGAGAGCAGAGGAGAGAACACGAGGAAGAAAAAGAGAGAAGTGGCCGGCTGCGTCCGGACGGCGGCGGCAGGAAGCAGACGCTCGCCTGACCTTGTAACCTACTGATAAGGACATGAGATCCATACATACGATCATGCTTGGAGATAGAGGCCAAGGAGATCAGCGAGGTTGTCCTAACTGAGAAGGAGGTCCGAAGCTCATCCGGTTCGAGTCACCGAGGTGGAGGCCCAAATCAAGTTCGAGTCAATCTCGGGTTACAGGACCAGTCTGTCATAAAACTAGTCGCACGGGTGCGTCCGGGATCCGTTTTCGATGATCCACATATGGATGGAAAGCTAATTAGATAAGAAAGCCAATGCAACTGGTCTCACGTCAAAAGCCCTTCGGAATCAACAGGAATCTTCAAAACAAATCAGCGTCCAGAATCTGCCAGGGTGCCGTGACACTGTCTTTTAGTCCGCTGGACCGTGTATCGTCTTTGAGCCCATTAGGGGGCGCGAACAGGGGGGTGACGCTCAAGACTCTATCATTAGCAGCCGTCACTCTCCTTATGGTTTGGGTTTTATTTAGTTCTTGATTTCCTCATGAAACAGAGACGTCGTTTTCTTTTGCAATTGTGCCGCCAAGGCCACTTCTTTGTGAACCGAGGCTACGATTCTTGATCTTATTAAATGCGTGGTGATTAGTCCTTTCGAATAAAGACCTGAACTCCTTCTCGTTATCATAAGCCTCATATTTATTTGCAATTTCATATTGTGTTCATCCCGTTCTTGCTTGTGTTCTCGATTAAACTTGCGGGAAAGCCTTCTCGGCGAGGTCAATCGCGTTAGCGTGGTTGATAACCAACGGAGCGATGGTGTAACCAACGCTTGCGAGGTCCGAATCGTCTTGGTTTGAAGCCTAGATCGTGAGCGTCGAGTCTCCATCAATCGATGCTATCGTATCTATCGGAAGATCGGGCCTTGTCTACATCAAGTGGTATCGAGACCTTGTTGCCCGTTAGGTATAACTTTGTTTTTCCCTTTAGATTATTCTTTGTTTTTGTATTACCTATAGTCCACAAAAGCAAAAAAAAACACCGCCACATATTTCCTGTTCTATAGCCTCGTTGTGCCGTGTAATTTCGTCTCTGTTTCGCGTTGTTGAGTTTGTGTCTAGGGCAAGTTACGGTTCTTTGGTTTTAGATCGTTTTTTTAGTCCGGTTTGTGTCTTTCCTTTGTTTTTCATCATAATCCGTGAACACCTTCAAGTCTTGCTTTGTTTTTTTTGTATCCATCAAACCCTAGTTCACGCCATCTAATTTGTCACACTTATCTTCACTTGTTTGCATCTATCCATAGCCGCCATAACAACTTTTGCACGCATTGTTCCCGTTTATCCTCTAATTTAGAGTCGGTTCTTAACACCGGTCTAGTTTTCAGATATCTGAACTCAGATTTCGACGTTCCATATATCAAAATCGATCGGAAAATTTTTTTGGATCCATCCGTGCCCCAACTTTGGTGGGTTCGGAAAATTTTATTTTGGCCAAAAACTGGTCACAAGATCCTTTTTCGTGGTCACAAGCTTTTTGTTAATTTCGAGCACGACTTGAATTTTCCACAGCCACGTCTTTCACTTGTTTAGGCTCATATTTTTACGTGGTTACTTCTTTTGTGCTCCTAAGTGAAGAAAAATATCAAAAAATAAAAAGAAAGAGTCAAAGAATCCCAAAAAAACAACGATAGCCCAAAAATAGAGAAAAAAAGGGACAAAAGTGGAACAATATATAGAGGAGCACATAGAGAGCACCATTTGAGCTGTGTTTGCATGTGCTGATTTTCGCCTTGTTCCTAATCATATTCCTGTTGTTCACATCACTTGATACATCTAGTACTTGGAACATGAATAGGCCAGCAACTAAGACAAGTACTTGGGATACTTATTCCGCTTTGCTATTCGGGTCATGAATATTGCTATTCCTTGCTACTATATTGTGCCTATCAAAGCTCCACTTTCTTCTAACCAAGTACAGGTTTGCCTTGCAAATCATTACACTCAAGCTTCTAGCAGGTATCATAGTCACCGACCGATTGCACCTTTGTTACTTTGGTAAGAACACTTGTAACACCGTGGTAAGACGCTTGAGAGTGTATGACTTTACTCCTTGACCACATCCTATAGTAGCTGATAGGAAAATACATAATTGTGTGTTTTCTTGTTTGATTCTAAGAATGACAGGTTGTTCGTATCTACCGACTTATGATGATATAGGTGCTGATGAGTACATGGAGTGGGAAATTGCCATAGATAACATATTTGCTACTCGCTTTATGTGTCCAAGGAGGAAGGTAAAAAATGCAACTAGTGTTTTACGACATTCTGCTTTGTCTTGGTGGGAGTCTTTAGATCCTTCTGATAAACCTCAAACTTGAAATAATATGAAACTCCTTATGGGAGAAACCTTTGTTAATCCACCTCCTGTTTTGACTTCATATGCTGAGGTGCACTATTTAGAGGAAGAGTCTGTTGTTATTCCTCTTGCTATGACTAACCTTCTGCAGGATAATGTACATAAGCGAGAGGATGACATGGAAGAAAATGAGGAGCTCACAACCTCATATGCAAATTCAGAACCATCACTTGACAATGCACCTATTACTACTGCTGAGAACATAGGTAATGCCCATGGTGCTACACCCACGAAAGGTGAGAATTGTTTTAATGTACTAATTTTTTCCACAAACCATGCTATCATAGAGCAATTGTTAGTGGAACCCTCTCTTGATTTATCTTTGTCCCATGCTAATTTGCTTGATGTTCCTTGTGATAAAGATAAATTGGTTGATGATGCTTTAGTTTTACATGTTTTGGAAACAATCACTTGTGCTGAAAATAAATCTGTTATTCATATTGCTACTAAAACTGATGAGCTCAAATTGTTGTCTTCTTTACATACTTTGGGTTACATTGAATTTGATGTTTTGTGTAACCTAGATTGTTTGGAGGAGAGCATTTTTAAATATGCTGATTTGCCTTGGTTTTCTAAACACAAATATCATGTTATTGGTAAATATAACAACAAAGGACAATATATGATACATCGAGTATACGTTCGTAGTAATATGAATTCTTCTTTTGTTGTACAAGATTATGATCATTTAGAGGGCAGCCATAATAATATAAATATTTTCTCATGTTCCTCAAAGAAACAAGTTCACTTCCAAGAAGGAGACCATTGTTGGTTGCTACCTATGTCTGCTAGACCATCTATTCCTACTTTGTCTTTGGTTAATTCTAATCTTTTGCAGGATAGTGTTGACATACATCGTGTGCATTCGGATCATGGAGCCTACATGCTTGCTGAAATTTTTATGCGAGATGACACGGTAGAAACTTGGAAACATGGCCACGTTCCTTCTAACAATTATTTCAGTTCCCTTTGTCTTTGCAACCCCGTTCTCCTTTGTATTGTGCAGGATCAGTTTCAAGCACAATCGACACCGAGGACGGCTTTACATCAAGAAAAGGGAGGATGATAAGGACATGAGCTCCATACATACGACCATGCTTGGAAATAGAAGCCGAGGAGATCAGCGAGGTTGTCCTAACCGAGAAGGAGGTCCGAAGTTCATTCGGTTTGAGTCACCGAGGTGGAGGCTCAAATCAAGTTCGAGCCCATCTCGAGTTCTAGGACCAATCTGTCATAAAACTGGTCACACGGGCACGTCCGGGCTCTGTTTTCGATGATCCACATATGGATGGAAAGCTAATTAGATAAGGAAGCCAATGCAACTGGTCTCACGTCAAAAGCTCTTCGGAATCAACGGGAATCGTTGAAACAAGTCAGCGTCCAGAATCTGCCAGGGTGCTACAACACTGTCTTTTGGTCCGTTGGACCGTGCATCGTGTTTGGGCCCATTAGGGGGCGCGAATAGGGGGGGTGACACCCAAGACTCTATAATTAGCAGCCGTCGCTCTCCTTAGGGTTTGTGTTTTGTTTAGTTCTTGATTTCCTCGTGAAACAGACGTCGTTCTGCTTTGTAAGCTTGCCGCCAAGGCAGCTTCTGTGAACCAGGGCCCCAGTTCTTGATCTTGTTCGCCTGTGGTGATTAGTCCTTCCGAATAAAGACATGAACTCCTTCTCGTTATCATAAGCCTCATATTTATTTGCAATTTCAGATTGCGTTCATCCCGTTCTTGCTTGTGTTCTCGATTAAGCTTGTAGGAAAGCTTTCTCGGCGAGGTCAATCGCGTTAGCGTGGTTGATAACCAGCGGAGCGATGGTGTAGCAGTGGCGAGGGTGCGAATCAGTCTTGGTTCGAAGCCTAGATTGTGCATGTCGAGTCTCCACCAATCGACGTTATCGTACCTATCGAAGATCGGGCCTTGTCTACATCACCTACCCTTATCGTGTTAAACTCTTCCTCTTCGTAAGCCAATTACTGAGACATCGTGAGTGATATATCCATCCTGTGCGAGTTTGTGCTAGAGTGTGCTTAGTTGCTTACGGTGGAGGAGCAATTCAATTACACAAAAGTTTCAAGGGCCTCGGCAAGTCGGTTCTGAAGGGGCAACTTTCGGGTGGTCGCCCGCCACGCCCCTGCCGCCCTCCCTTCTCTCTCCTCTCGCCGTCGCTTTGAGCGAGGTCGCTAGAGGCCCTTGAGGACAATGATGGCGGTGGGCGGGGCACTTGTGGCTGGTCCACCATTGGTGGAGCACTCGTGCATCTCCCGTCGAGGAAGTTAAATCGACGTCTAGGTGAAATTAGCGGCGTCAGTGCCGTGGTGGCTCGTATCCACGCCGGGGAAGATAGATCCAACGAGCCAACGTCCCGGATCTAGCCACGGTGGCGAGGACACTGCTTGCATCGGCAGCGGCCATTCAACGCCGTCGTGGCTTGATTTCTCGCCCCCACCGGATCCATGGCAGCAAGTGGACAACAGTGGCGATTGCGGCCATGCGTGGTTGTGCGCCTAGGGCGTGCAGGCAGCCGCTTGGGCGGCGTAGGCTACACGTTGGCGGCGTGTCTAGGGCGTGCAGGCTGCTCGTGGATGGCTTGGTCATGGAGGCGGTTGCGGCTTACGGGCATGGTGATTGTTTGCTCTTAGCGAGTGTCTATTGGTACCCTAGGGCGGTGGCGGCCCGGCGCTAGTTCAAGGATCTTAGCAAGGAGGAGGCGATCCGTGGGCGATGGCGGCAGCGACGAGAGACTCGATGAGGGCAACCATCCCAATGACGGCGGCTGCCCTATGGGTGGCGAAGGCTTAAGAGTCCGACGAAATGGAAGCGGATCCTGCCGGCTCACGTCTGTTTGGCTAGTTCTGACTGGACGACGACGGATGAAGGTGTGCTGACCAGCATGGTGTCAGCTTACTTGAAGCGAATGAAGATGGCAGCAGTGGAGGTTCGCAGTGATGACACACTAGGGGCGGTGGACTTGACGACTTCCACTCACTGAATTTGGCCATTTTTGGAGAGGATGTTGGGAAACAAGGATGTATCGAGGTCGTAGTTTTTCCTTTTTTGTTGTTGTCCGTTCTCCTCTTTGTTGAGGTGTGAGTCTAAGTGTTCTTATATCCTTTTGGCTGTGTATATTCTTTTCGTGGATATAGTGGCCGGATCAATGAAAATCCATTATCTAAAAAAACCTTTTATAACCCTAATAAGTTTGCAAGGCCAATACTCGAAGTTGGGTTATTTATTTTTTCTTCTTTTCTCTAGGTATGTTGTGTTTACATGGCTTCAAACCCATGTAGACCTCTGTTCATTCTTACTAACCATCATTTTCTTGTTTGACACCATACCATACTTATGGCTCTCTGGAAAAACAGCTACGTATAGATATAGTATGTACTACTACTAGCTAATAAGCTTGCAGCACCAACTCCCAAAAAAAATGGCCACCAACAGCAGAAGAACAGAGATCCTCTGGTTCTGCGAACACCATCGCGAGGCTCAATATAGTAATTCGGAATATACAATTATAGATGCTCATACTTTGGTCAATTTAGTGTATCAAAATTCAGATGAACAACTTAAATCCATTAGAATTAATAACGGCTACCTATGCACGTTACCCCAAAACTTGTGCTCCCAAGTCCCAAATCAACTTCTGAAGCTATGCAAATGCAAAACAAAAAAAGAAAAGAAAGAAGCACTGTACCAACTAGACCAGGGATGAAGCAGCTAACAAACTTGCATTTGCCTGAATGCACCTATATATAAACAATGTGTTGGGTATGGCAGAATTCACCCCCCCCACCCCATTCGCACGACACCAACGCCCGATAAAACACTGTGCACAAGTTAGATGGCAGTGCTATTGCTTATTCTCCCCTGAATGCACCCATACACTAGCTATTATAGCTGGCAAAACTTGTAGTATGCATGAATACTGGAAACAAATAATCAGTTAACACTCCATGTAGATCAAACCAAGCCATTTAATAATTTGCTGGCAGCATTAGCATGCTGCTGCATGGATCACAGACAAGCATACAATGTGTCCAATACAGTCAATGAAACTGAAAACCAACACTTGCACACCATGGGGTTTGGTTCTGTGGAGGCATCAAACCCAGCCACTTATTTCGGTTTTCGAGTGCACACGCGCGCACACATAACCAGTCAAACCAAAGCAAAGCAAAGGAGCATACATCAGTCGGCCTCTCTTTCAAGAGAGATACACACGAATTCACACATACCGGTATCAAGCACACTGCACACACACACACCAACTTGGTTGATGCAAATCCAAGTAGGTAGCTAGCATCAGAGACCAAATTATTTTCATTCTTGTCTTGAGAGAAAACACACCGAAGACTTGGCAAGCAACTTGGTTGACCACAGCAGCATCAGTACTGCTATTGCTATATATGGAAGCATACCCAGTGGCAGAGAAAGCACTGTCGTCGTCATCCCGTCGATCCAACACCAGATGAATCTACAGAGAGTGATCCAATCCAACATCAGCACACACAGAACATAAAACAAAATTAACTTGAAATAAATTACTACAAATAATTAAGGGGAGGAAGTTGCTTGATCAAGTGTGTACGTACCAGGAGAAGAAGGAAGCCCAGCAGCAAGTATGTGATCACGTCGGCTATCTCAGCGGAGAACCGTGCTCCTCAGGTGACGCCTCTTGTAGTACTTGGAATGGCTCGGCTGGAAGAGAGAGGGGTGGTGGCCAGACTCCATCCCATCCCACTCCAGCTTATCCCACCAATCCTTCTCGCAGTCCACGGCCACAGGGCGGCCATCTTCACGGCGGCGACTGTCAGTGGCCGGGAGACGCCTCAGACCCCAGCAGCCTCTGATATAGATGGTCTCGAGCTTGGGAGCAAACATCTTGGCCTCACAGATCTGTTGCAAACTGATGAGATCATACAGGTATAGGCTCTTGAGGTTTGGGAATCCCAGCATGCCTTTTTCATGTCTGGCCGCTATTTTCTCTAGGAACTCTTGCTCCACGAGGAAGACCTGCTTGAGATCACCGCAGCAGTGTATGTGGAGAGTCTCCAGCACCTTGGATAAGGTATTGTTCGAAGCCATTGGGAGGACATATATGAGCCTCGGGCAGAAGTGCAGACGAATAGTCCGCAGTCGTGTAAATGATAAATCACCTGAATCCAAACTTAGATCTCTTGGTCTGCTCCAAACAGAACGGGCCATCAAGAGATGAGCCGCCCAAAAGATTTCCAACTGAGAGAAACATATGTAATAATAGTTAGTGGCGAAGACAGTATCCAACTTGGGGCATCTCTCCACGCAGCACCACTTGAGCCCATTCATTATAGAGATATATGTCCCAAAAGTGTGTTCAGGGGCAACACTGGTGATGGAAGAACTGTCGTGCACGTGCAACGACTGCACACTGTCCATCACACTACGTATTGCATCCCTTGCCCGCGTGCTGGACTTGTCGGTGACGTCACTAATTCCCTCGCCAATGTCCATGTGCAAGTCTAGTGGCAGAAATTGCGCTGAGCTGCTGCTACTGCTGATATCGATCTTTGCAGATATCTGTTCAATGCTGATGTCATGGTAGGTTAATGACTTGGGCATAGACAAAGCAGCAGCTAGCTGTCCAGTGCTATAATGACTGCCCATCTTTTCCTTGTGGCAGCCTCTTCCATCATCATCGCTGGTAGATGACAAGCAGAGATTCCACTTATCACATCGAATAATGCGTGCCCATGTCCAAAGAAACTCCAAGGACTGAAGGAACCTCATGTCTGCAACGGCAACAGATGCATGGCAATACTCCTTTACTTCGTCTTGCCGGTAGACCATCAAAGAACAATCACGTGACCATGCTGGTTTTCTGTTGTCCACCTCTCCTCCTCTTGCTCGAGTGTCAATGCACAGCAGCCTTAGTTTGTACATTTTGGTTTTGGGCCAAGAAATTGAGCGGAGCTGTCCGCATCCCATCAAGAAGAGCCGCTGAAGATTTTTACTTGAACCACCTCTCCAAGGTCAAGGGATTTTGATTGCTGTGTGCGAGAGGTCCAGCTCCTCAAGGTTTGGCAGTGACCCACGCAGTATAAAGTTTGCTAATCTTACACACCCAGCCAAGCTGATGTAAGATATTTCAACATTCTTCTTCTTGAGATCCTCATCTTCTCCTGCGGTATTCAATGAGAATGATTCAAGTGATGGAGGGAGTTGTTGAGGGCCAACATGCTCCAACCCAACACAACCATCTAGAATCAGTGTCTTGAGGCTTGTTGCACCCGAAAGGCTCGGCAAGACTTGTATGGTGCTGTTCCCAGATAGGTCAAGGAGCTCCAGATTCACCATAGCCATGAATTCATCTCTTCTTTCTGTCTCCCAAGGGTTTGTGGGCTCAACCACTTGGAGCTTGTGAAGGTTCGGCAGGCGTCTCCATGCAAGGTTGCTGGTCCAAATCCTTCCGTTGGTTATATGAACCTCTCTAATGTCTGTAGCCACCACTTGCTCTTACATTTGGGGAAAAGCCAATGGCCAATCCGTGTGGCATACATCTAGCACCCATAGCATTGAAAAATTTCCACATTGGTTCACTGTTTTCTCCTCCTCCTCCTCCTCCCCATGTTGTAGTCCATCCATGCATCTATCCAGTCCAAGGAATCTTAAGTTGTGGCAGCAATGGAATGGAGGTGATGAAAAGCTGAAGGTACATCCACATAACTTCAGCACCCGGAGTTGATCTGCTTTGTGGAACTTGTCACTAGGTAGTGATACTGCTTGTGGACTTGACTTTTTGGATCCATAGAATAGGGTTGTTGCCTCTGGAGGAACCTCTTTGAAATATGAATCAGTAATAGAAATCCATTGTTTCGAGGAAAGATCCAACATGTTCACAGACCCCAGAAGCTCTACATTGGATGAGTAGTCTTCTAGTCTTATATGCTGCTGCAGAGCATGAGCAACCTCCCATTTCTGGTTGTCCTGTCCTCCTCCTATGATCCCATCGCAAACCCAGTAGCAGGAAGCATGGGTTGCCCAGTTGTAGTCAATCATCTTCTTACCTTGGTTATTCAATGACAATAGGTACAAGCAACACTCTATGGCTATTTTTGGTGTAACACCAAGGCCAAGCTTATGTGTGTACAAAGAGACTTCTCTAGCCTCTTTTGCAAGGTGTGCATTCCAATTGCTGTTACGGCCATGGTATGCAAAAAGATAAAGGTGTGAAGCATCTACGTTTTCATGAATTCCTGCATTGAGGCGAAGCCGTCCTCTGAAGGTCCACAATACCTTAGTATTGAAGATTTCAGGTTGCGGAATGCCACAGCTAGTCAAGTCAACCATGCCATCACTTCCATTGTGAAAGACAACTAAACATCTGTACTGTACTAGGTAACGAGTTATTGCGGCCATGACGCCTCTAACCTCAGCTCTGGAGCCATGGTCTACCCCACTGAAATCGTCCTCCTCATCGTGCCTGTCAAAATCAACCGCTACCTGTTGAGTGAGCTTGAGCTCGTCTGCGATCACCCTTTGCAATGCTCTTCGGCTCTTCCACATCGAATAGTCAATGTGGATGATCCTGTCGAATTTCTCTCGTAAAGATGGTGTAGGCTGCTCTACAATAGCTCTAAGCACCGCAGAAGCACCCAGTCCATACCATCCGTCGAAGTAGATGACCTGACGTGCATCGTTGCTTGTGTAGTCCTCTAAGTAAGGAGATATTTGTTGTACTGCCGTCTTGACATCGACCGCGCTAATATCCTGTATTTTTTTGTTTGAAGCCAACAATTAACTAGTTAAGAAGGCCACTCTCGCTCCACAAACACACAGTAACTAGCACAAGGAGCAGAGTACCAGTTTAGATCTTTCTTTTTCTTCTTTTTTCTTTGGTTGGAACTTAACATGTGGTCAAAAGCAAATAAACTAATATGATATATTTAAGAATTAATTGTTGCATCGATGAAGAAAAATATTTGTGCCCAAGGTTTTAAGAATGGCAATGTATCAAGTGCAAACCAACCTCTCCGTGCAAACCGTGTAAACCAACTGCGGGGGAGAGGTGGGAGGGGGGATTTGCAAAAGTGTAATTAGGAGGCAGGCGTAATTACACTTTGCAATCCCCTCCCACCTCTCCCCCGCAGTTGGTTTGAAGGAAGGTTGGTTTGCACTAGATATGTTCCTTTAAAATTAACCAATCGAGATGTTTTATTTTCTGGGGCGGCTAATCTTATTAGCCCCCTCTAATTCAAATAGAATTCAGGTACTGCTCGCCACCCTTGTCTCACATGGCTGCCGCCACCACTTTCTTGAGCTCCTGCCCGTCGCATGGGGCCTCCAATGCTGTGCCGTCACGTGGGGCAACGGTGACCACCATCACGGCCCTGAGTGCTGCCATTGGCATTGTCCTTTGTCGATGCTACAGCGCACGATCCGCTCAGCCAAATCGGCCGGCTGCTGCATATCGCAGCTTTGGTCCTGACGGCGGGGATCCGGTCCCCCTCGCGCCGATCCAGCTGCATTCCACCGTGTTGCTGCCCTGCCTAGGTCATGGCTGCTAGCTGTCCGTGCTTGATCTAGAGCTAGGAGCTGAGACAAGAGAGAGCGGCGAGAGGAAAGAATGGATGGAAAGGGCGTGGGGAGTTGAGGACAGCTAGCCCACAACTGGGGCTATTTATTTACATCACATACAGCAAAAATAAATGCCAGAGTAAATAGAGTAGAATACGAAATTACAGATAATATTTATACTAGATATGTTTCTCATCTCTCCACTCATATTTTGAAAGTGATTATTGCAAAAACAAAACCACTAATAATAAAATTAGTGATTTATTTTGAAAGTGATTATTGCAAAAACAAAACCACTGATATTAAAATTAGTAATTATTCAGGTGTATTTTCCTAAAGCACACAATCTATATTTACATTGGTCAATGGAGTGTGTGTGTGTGTGGTGTTGGGGGTGGGGGACACCTTTTCTTCTCTCCGCGCTGCCATGACGAGTCTCTGTATAGGAATGATTAGCAAGATGAAGAAGCTCCAGAGGTCTAGCCATCTCTACCCCATGGCTTCTAGATGGATCTCCACTCCCTAATGTGCAAGCCCATTTACAAGAACAAATTAAAGTTAATTATAAGCGCGTCCGCCGGTGTGAACATGCACACATCTCTCTCTATATATTCTTCAAAAGCATGTATATATAGAGAGGGAGAACACAATGGTGCCAAATAGTAGTAACAACCATATATGAAATTAAGAAGCATAGAAGTCGTTGTTCGTACCTTGGCAACTAGCTACAGTGTATGTATATACAAAATCCTGAGCTGCGAATCGGAGAACACAATGCAAGAAACGGTGGTGCTGTCTGCTGTGTATATTTTTCTGAGGTGTGTGCTGATCAGCGAGAGGTAGCGGACAGAGGAGAGGTAGGAGTTTGCGTGCTCTGCCTGCGATAAGCTTGTAACTATTGGCATTGGCATCAAGAAAAAAGAAATATGCAGCCGGGTGCTCTTTGCTTGGGGCTGGAACCAAAGAATAAAGATGGAAGTATAGCTGTCGTTGTCCTGCAAAGTGCAAACTCAAGTACGTAGCTTGCACAGATGACATATCTCAAATGCGGCATAATTAACGTTTTGATCACAGTCTAAGCTTAATTAACGTTTTGATCACAGTTTAAGAATGACCCATATTTGGTTTGCCCGAGTTACTGGCTCATTCATGCTTTTTAAGGCTCCGTTCGCTTCGATGAAAAAACAAACCGAAACACTGTTCCGGCTGATTTGTTCTGAGAGAAAAACACTGTTCGGGCTCAAAAAACAAGCTGAAAAGTACGGATAAGACAAGCGAACAGGGCCTCTTATTTTCACTTTACCTTTGTCCCAAGTAGAAATTTTCTTACCTTGACCATAATTTTAGGGGGGAGAATATTATATTTATTGGATCAATAAATTCAAATAAATACACTATATAGACATACTTCATGGGGAATTTATTAAGGGAACTAATTTGATATTATAGATACTAATACAATTTTTTTATAAACTTAATCAAAGTTAAAAGTTTCACTTAGGATAAAGCAAAAATAAACTATAATTTGGAACATGAGAGGGTATCGAGCCAGACTAATAAAGTAACAAGTACCACTCACTATGCTCATCAAATCAGCATGGCAGAGATGCACATAATGGTATGTCACGTTCCATTGCCTTAATCTTGCTTTACCAATCTTGACCATCACTAGGCTCCATTTTTGCACCTACCCACGCTTTTACCAATCCCAGCGGTAAGTCTGTATCTTTGACAAAGGATAAGGCTACAACCATGCTATTTGAAGAGTTGAGGTCCTGCACTTTTCGCCCACCAGACACGAATTTCCTCTTTGTCAGTGCATTCTACATAAAGTGGACACCAAGGCAGCCATGACAAGGCCTTTACAATGTCCTATTCCAGTCCCAACTCTGCACCTGCTAGGTTTCACAACAAAGCAGAATAGCATCCAGCTCAGGCTTCGCCTTTTGTGCACTAGGCTATGGGAGTGTTCAGCTGGGATGAAATCTGGCACTGTTCATATGGGAAACACTATTCATGCTGAAATTTTGTGAGAGAGAAACACTGCTTCGGTTGGAAAAAAAAAGCAACCAGCCAGCCGAACACTGTCTATGACGCTTATTTACAAACTCACAGTAAATATATGAAAACAGTGGTCAAAGATAAATTCGCCCGCTTCCCATTAACCAACAATCTCGGTACTACTGCTCAACCAAATAGAATGACTGCCACAGGGGGGTAGATAGTGGCTACTTGAAAGCACCAGGATCCTGACCAAGCAACCGGCTGGAATCAGGGAGCACTGCCATTCAACTTTGCCGCCCCTCTGCATGAAGAAGCTCCCCGACGACGCCACAACCATTGTGAGTATTGCCAACCGGCCTAATCTTTACTTCTTTTATCTGCGAGCAATTATAGTTGCAAAACAAAATGTCACGTCAGTGGAAGGTCATTTCCTGGCATTCTATTGAATCTATGCCTGCTAATGGGGTAAAATCCACTCCATACCCAATCCAACCCATAACAAATTAACTCTCTTCTTCGACCCACCTCACCCCATATTTTTATAGTTCAACCAAACCCATTCCAACCCACAAACTAATTAAACCCGTGGGTTTGTCACTACTACAGATTTGGACATCACCGCTGGATTTGTGAGAACTGGCAGTGATGTACCTTCACTGTCGGTTCTGAGCTTGAAAATGAGAAAATAATTGGGGCTGGGCTAAAACCGACAGTGAAGGACCACATCACTATCACTGCCGATTTGTGGCTTGCACCGGCAGTGAGTTGGCGGCCACTTATCACTGCCGTTTCTAGCCAAGAACTAACAGTGATTTGGTGCTATCACTGTCAGATCTAGCCAAGAACCGATGGTGATTAAATGGCAGTATAAAAAAGCTGGCGCCATCCTCTCCTTCCTCCTCTCTTCCATCCCAAGCACAGAGGCGTGTGTTTGGGCCCTTCCCTCTATTGTTACGGCTACTCTTCACCATGAAGCTAGCTCTTGAATTTTGAAGAATGGCTTGATCTTTTTGCTTTAAGGTTAGTAACAAGCATCCACTTCTTTAATTTTGTTGCTTAATTAGCGTTGTTTTGATGGCTATATTGCATTATCATTCTAGTTCTTTCTCTATTTTAGAGAGCACTTTTCCAATTAGACTTTGTGCAAGGCTTCCAAGCAAATTGTGGTGAATCCATCATCCAAAAGGTTGGTGCCTTTGAACACATTTAAAATTCTTGCTAATTACATGGTGGTCAAGATCATTGTTAGTATGTGATGCTATAATTAGTTCTTGATAAGAGTAAAGTAGATTTTTTTACAATTTTGGTGAGCAAATTAATCCATGTGTCACGTACCAACACATTGTTTGGAGCTACATTGTTATTCATGGTCATATCTCCAATTTTAGTCTTTTTTTTAAATTAGTGTCTCCATTTTTCTGTGGCATCGAGTAGAATAATTGTTCTTCATTATTGTGCAATAATTGTTTTTTATGGGGTTACAATTTTCAATTTATATGGCCAGGGCTATGAATTTTAATTTTTCAATAATTAGTGTACAATAATGTTTTCAAAAAATGAGATGACTAAATTAAATAAGTGTAGAATAAATGGTACTTTCGAGCTACAATTGTTGTTCATGAAGCTCGACTTCTTATTAATTTCTCTATAATTACTGTCTCAATATTTTTTTGTGCAGAGATGGATTAGGAGTGGATGCATCTGTTATGAACGGACAAGCGGTACATGCATGACGTCTGCCAGTTTATCACCAATGCTAAAGCCTATGCTGGGAATGGGAACCCTGTCTTTTGCCCATACAAAGATTGCATGAATCAAATGAAATGGACTCAAATTGAGTATGTACAAATGCACTTGATTACCAGTGGATTCATGCCAAACTATATGATATGGACTATGCATGGCGAGGTTGGTGTAAATGTTTGCAGAAAAACAATGACGATGTAGCCATGCACGATGTGGCCATGCACGGCGTAGCCATCCACGATCTTGACAAAAAACCCGAGTGTCAACCGCGAACCACATGGCCCACGATTAATGATGTGTTTAGGAACACGCTGGTAGCGACACCAAAGATAACGATGGCATTTCTCATCTGCTTTCGTAATGTAGAGACCGGATGTCTTAATGAAAGGCAGTTGAAAACTAGAAAATGAGACAAGATGGCAAAACACCATTGTATAAGAATT